GAAAAGAGAGAACAAAGATGAAAAGAGAAAGCTGCCAAATAAATCTCTTCGATGCAAAGATTTAACAGAGGACATGTTTATAGCTCAATTGGCGACTCATTGTTTGAAAGAAGTTGTAAAAATGCAGATAGCTCACTCACTTCAATAGCATTAGAAATTGCTGCTGTTATAATAATAATACAGACTAGACTAATAGCTATTCAAAGAAAGTTCCTGATAGAGGAGGATAATTAGTATTCTTTGCGCAGAGTGTGCAGAAAACAGGACAGTCTACAACAAAACTAGACTTTCTACACTAATGTGTGAAGTGACTCCCTGGGGGAAAAAAAAAACAGGAGAAAACAGTTTAGTTTTGAAAGCATCTTTTTTTGAACATTTCCAAATATGTCAAAGCACTTAGTGAGTACAAAAGGCATTTTTGAAATGCAAATGCAAAACCACTGTTCAATCCCAAGAACTAATGCAGATTTTTCTCCGCGGGTTTAACTCTAGGTGTATTGGTGATGGTGTGATTTACAAAAACCCTTAACTAAAAAAACTGAAGACGGAAGCCAGTCTCGTGGCCTCCGAGCTCTGATCATTAAGGACCACCCGGTTAGACGCCAGTTGTCTTGCTGGTGGTCCTCCCAGTACGAAACACAATGTTGGACCCCATAGTAGGAACTTATCAGTATTTGGATGGATAGATAGGTGGATTAATAAATAGGAGCTTCTGTTCAATGCACAGTGTCAAAGAACTCTTTCATGCATTAGAGCTTCTCTTCTCTATGTGCAGTAATGATCATAGATGATTTATCTTCTTCTGTCTACATTTTACAGATGATAAAACTGAAGCCCGCAGAGGGTGTGATCTCCTTAGGGTTGTTCTGCTACTTGATGGCAGAGTCAGTAACCAACGCTGAGCAAAAGGAGCTACAATTTCTCACGTTCTAGCACGGGAAAGAGAAGCACTGCACTCTCCTCTCTGGTGCAATGTGCAGCCTCAGATGAGAACAAACCCAATGGGAAGGGAATGAGAGAGGCGCTTCAAAACTGTCTCCTCAAAAGCAAATTACACAAAAAACAATCTTCAGCATGGCCAGGGCGGGAGTCACTGGCAATGGTATGAAAACCGTAAAGCGTGCGTCTTCTGTGGACATGCAAAGTGGCAAACGAAGCACAGGGGTCCCCTGTAAACATTCCTACAGACTCACGTGACTCCGAAGGACCAAGCCAGCAGCACTGTTTCCACAAAAAGGAAAGCACTTGTCATTCTAGATTGTTCCATTGGTAAGTACCAGGGCCAAAAGACTGCACTAGTTGTAACACCATATTGTGTAGATATACTTACTGAGTCAGCTTATTACCAAATGACTAACTAGTGGGCTGGGGATAACAGCCTTATCTACCGTGGAGTCTCATTGATTAGACCACCTAGTCGGTGGCTCACATTAAATTCTCTGGGGTCCTATGCATGGGACCCACGCCTGGGTTCACCCCAGACAGACTGTAGCCTGACCCGGGGAAGTGGGGTGATGGGTCAACATGTTTACAATGCCCCCCCGAGAATGTGCGGCCAGAGTTGGGAGCACTGCTTTGGGCCAGCCCACCTCCAGTGCTACGTGAGGAGATCCAGCCACGCTGTGACCCGGTGACCCAGGCCACACAGCGCCGTGGCTGCTGACTCGAACCGTGAACCCGGGTTTTCTCACTGTCCGTGGTTCCCTTCAGTAAGGAGCTAAAGGAGTGTGGGGTGGGCCCAAAAGTCCATATGGTATTTCCCATGATATAAAAGACAGATTTTCATTTTTACCAATAACTTTATCGATCTGGATATTTCGAGTATGTTGCTCTCTCCCACTATTGGCTTCCACTGGGCAGAGGCCAGGGTGCTGCTAAACACCTTCCAATGCCCCAGACAGCCCACAGCAAGGGGTTATTTGGCCAAAATGTCAATAGTGGCAAACCACTTTGGACACGTTCGATCAGTCACAGCACCTTCTTCATACACGGCACACATCTTTTTCTGTGTCTCAGTTGCATTTTTACCTTCTTGAAATAACAAAGCATAAGACACTGAAATGTTGTGTATTTCTTCCGTCTTCAGTATTAGAATGGCTGCACAAAAAGTCACCAATTTTGACATTTGTTTTTAAATGCACACTCATAGGAGAGCTGTCACAATACAAGCTAACAAAATTAAAGACAACTAAGTGCTACGAGAGCCATCGTACAGAAAAAACGTAACAGACTTTTTGGCCAACCCAACCTCTATCGGCAAAAATCCCTCAGAGGTGCCCATAAGACAGTTCTGACCCGTGCCACCTCATTGCCGGGAATGCCAGCTGGGCTTTTAACATGTCACTGAAAATTCAAATGCCCTGCTGCCTGCCACGCGGCACGAGCGGTTCTTCCAAAGACAGGAAACCTGACGTCAGAGCTCCAGTCGGGGTCGGAGACTGAAGTGTCTGAGGAGCGAGCGCAGAGCTGACACTCAATACACACCACTGGTCTGCAATAAACGTGCTAATTGTTTTTCTCTGTCCGGACATTGGCTTCCCTTGTTCCTATCACATAGCCTCCCCTCAACAGACACGCACGCACACTCTGTCATCGGATGGTTCTTCTGTCTCCTGGGACCTTCCAGAGCCATTACTATGCCAACGTACTTGGAGAGCTTCGCGTCTCCGAGTCTGCTGAGAGGCAAAGACCGATAAAATGTCTTTCTTGCTGCCCACAAAGAACAGAAGGCAGCACGATTGCGTAAAAAGAGGACTGTGCTTCCAGTCCCCTGAATAAGAAGCTGGAGTCATTGCTCCGCCCTAACAAGTAAAAAGCTGAAGGGACAGGAAACTGTCCTCGTATCCAGAAGAGGGGAGGACACAGGACAAACCTGGGTCCCCAACACTGGAGAGACAGACAGGCAAAAGCAAGGAGTCCGGCGCACAGAGCAGAGAGTGCGTTGCCGTGCAGGAGGGAGAACGGTGAGAGGTGAAGTCGGAGAGGCTGCAGCTCGACCCTCCGCCTCACAAAGCCTCCTCCACTCGGGCTGAGGAATCTCTGCCTGGTCAGAGGGACGACACCGGAAGACCTGAACAAGGGATTGGGAAATGGCATCTGAACTCGGCAGTGGTATGAAGGATGACAAATTCCGAAGGTCAGATCAGTCAGAAGGTGATCTCAGATGTCACATGACGTTGAGGTTGCGGAGGGACAATTGCCAGGGACAGGAGAAGCCTACGGAAACTCTGGGGGCTGACCTTGTCATCTTTTAAAAAAATTCCTCACCATAGGGTATGTTTTTTATTGATTTTAGAGAGAAAGGAAGGGAGGGAAGGAGGACGGGGGGAGAGAGAAAAAGAAACAAGGACCAGTTGCCTGCCATACACCCCTGGCAAGCGAAGTAGGTGGTTCCCCTCAAATGAATCGTTAATACAGGAACGCCACACAAATCGGATCATACCCACAAGACCTCGGTCGGGGGTAAAAACGCTCTTGTGGGATGGAAGCTGCAACCTAGGTATGTGCCCCAACCGGGGATCCACCCCACAGCCTTTGGTGCACAGGATAACACTCCGACCAACTAAGCCACCTGGCCAGCGCTGACTTTGTCATCTTGATTGTAGTGATGATTTCACTTACACATATACTTGTCAACAGCAAAATATACATTTTAAATGCACACAGTGTAGTATCTATCTGGAAGCTGTTACTGCACAGTGACCTATGTTGTAACAGTCCCTGTAAAAGACCGCATTGTAATTAGAGCATAAGGAAGCGGAGAATGAGAGGACACCACTCCCAAGAAGCGATGCTTCCAAAGTGGGAGCAGAAGACAGACAATAACGAGACAAAGGGTTGAGTCATGTGTTTCAGGAGGGGAGGAGTTAATGGCTAGATGCATTGAAAGGTAGGGAATCAAGAGCCAGCTGATGGAATACAGCATGGAAAATCCAAGAAGAAAGGTAAGTCTTGAAGAGGAGGAATCTGATGGGCACAATTACAGGTGTGTTTGCGGTTGGATTGGAAGACGAAAGGGTGGACTGGACGGTTAGTAGAATTCCGGCCTGTCATTCTCTCTGTTTCTTTTTGGGGGGAAGGATGAGGTATGAGAAGAGTAGGATATGTAGGTGGAGCTCTGGAACAGTCACTGGCTACAGCGACTGAAATGTAATCAGAGAGAGACTTTCAATCCGGGAGCACTGTTCTGTACAAGATGGCGCACAACCGAAGTGTAAGCAAACCTGCACATGCGCACGAGGGATTCCATCCAACAGTCCTCTTCTGCTGTCCCTCCCCCCGCCCCCACCCCCACAACCAAATTTCACTTAGGGGCTATATGTTTTTACCAAACTCTTTAACTTTCTTGGAAAATAGTTCTACAATACACACGAACATAGAGAATAATAAAGTGAGTAGCAATGTTCTACCACCACGGTTTATCAAATCTTAACATATCTACCTAAGTTAAGAAAGTCCTTGAACCCAACATAGGCTTACTGGACAATGGAGTTTCCACCACCAGCAAACATCAAATGCTTACCTACTTCTCACAGTCCATATATTTCATGAATGATGTCCAGAGCACATGAGAACCTCAGGTAATACTGTGGGTGGGGACAAACCACATATGGCCACAAATGGCCACTGGCAAGCTAATTAGGTAGTTCCCCTTAAGCGAACCATAACACATAAATGCCACGCAAATTAGATCATACCCACGGGTCCCAGGTTTGAGAAGAAGTGCTCCTGCAAACTATGAATTTCTAATTAAAAAATGGTAATTACAATTCCCAACACTGACACTGTTTTTCTTTAGTGTTCTAACACTCATTGCCACTTTGACATTGGTAAATATAAGGAAGGTTAATAAAAAAGACTTTTTTCCCACGGCATGTAAAATTTCTGAAGTTGAAAGCTTGAAGTCAGTTTCTAGAGACCAGAGCTTTGTCCTTTGAGCGTCGCGCTTTGTGGGCGTAAAGAGCAAAGCCCTCGTCCTCAAGTCTCCAAGACTGTCATACCTGCCAGAACAGACTGTGTGCGTCTCCCCTCAGAAGTTCAACTGTGTCCCCGGCCTGGATGTGCAGCGGGGGCCCTTCGTGAAGTGCGGGAGGCGGCGTCCCAACGTAGTTCCTGATGACCTGCATCTTTGGTAAACCTGAAAATACGCAATAACAATGTTTAGAATGGACACGATAATGATGTGTGAAATCCAAATGTGCTGTGAAAAAAAAAATCAGCACCATTATGAACATTAAAAAGTTTTAACAGCCCCGAGTCCAAGTAAACATGTGAAGTAACTCCAATGGAATGTGCTTCAACTGTCTCATAATTGGAGACGCTAATGCAATAAGACGTGTATTTATGCCTTGATCCTGCTCCCTCACCATCCATCTATTTTCAGTTGGGAAAATATTTCTCTTTCAGCTGATGCCTGCTTCATAAAAAACACATCACATATGGTTTAATGGAAAAGAATCAATTTTTTCATCAACTCTATCCTTTCTGCCTATTACTTTCCTCTTGGGCATTGCCTGATTTCATCACGGAGGCAGCTCACCCTTGCTGTGCGTGCATTGCGTTGCCCAGTCTAAGGCTCATATCTTAAGGTTATCTTTGTAATTCAAAAGCAAAACCGTGATGGATGTGCCGGGGTAATACTTAAGACATTTATAGGGAGAAATTCTTCAGGCTCCAATTCAGGCTTGCAGAGCGGACCCAGTAAAGGGAACACGTCTAAGCCAATAGCAGCAACAATGCCTAAAATCCCGATGCACCCTGGTCTTCGCATTTCTTTGAATGTACAATGAGGGCCTCGGCGCAACATTTCATTTCCGAGAGTGGCAGCTTCCACTGCACACAGGCCTAACTGCATTACTAATGTCCCAAATGGACAGCCTCACAGTCACCTTTGCATTTAGAGGTAAAACTGCTCCCTCCTACAAGAGCTCACTCATAAGCATGGTGTCTGTGGCACATCTGTGGACCGAACTTTTCCTCCTAACAATGGACCACGGCAAGGGGGTAACTAGCAGAAGAGGCAGAGTGAATGCTGTCCAGTTCTCAGTGTTCAAATTACCTAGAAAAGCCCCAGTATCTCCATGAGATGTTCCAGCAAACAGTTTAATGAAGTCTTCAAAAATCCCTCCACCCACACCTCCTTATCCATCTGATCAATGGGAGGCAGCAGGACAGAAAATCATGGCGCCCTTCACCCCCGTGTGGCTACTGCCACTCCTGGGACGTGTAGGAGCCACCATGCCTCGTCCTGGCCTCTGACCACGTGCCCCAGGAGCTCAGGAAGGGTGGCTTTAACCCCACATGGTCCCTGGAGCGCTTCCCCACCAGCTGTGCTAAGGTGGCGCCCTGGCCCACACAGCACTTTGTTGCCTTCCCCAGAAACAACACTGGATGGCCCTTCTCAGCGGAGTGTTTATCCAACCTACACGCCATCAGTGCCCCAGGTAAAGGAGTAGCTGACTCTTCCATTTCCATGAGGCTGCTGTGGTTCGTTTGATGTGAAATCCCACCACTGTGTAAATTCATTACACATCTGATCACTCTATCGCAGGCCTGAAACCAATAGAATATGGTACGCCAATTGTAGCTGAAAAATGAATATGTGAATTATATAACCGTGTTCTCCTATTTCTAACCCTTCCTGTTGCACTTGGAATGAAATCCGGACTCCTGGCCACGGCCTACAAATCCGCATGCTTCCTGGCCCCCAGAGCTCTCCAGTCTCATGCCTGCTCACTGCTTTCCGTCATTCTGACCATTTTGTAGTCGCTTGTACTCCCTGAGGGAGTGGATCCAACTATGTTATGGGCCTTAACTTACAGTTCATCTCTTATTCGTTAACTTGTCATCTGTCTCCTGGCCTCTCCTTTTCTATTATTTTGTACTGCCTAAATTGGAATGTTAAATATTTATAATTTTCATCATCAAATATAGCTTCTACTAGTAAAAATGGGAGTCAAAATTCAGATTTTATTGAACAACTACAACTTCATCATTAGTTTTGACTGGCTTTTTAACAGTTTGTATCTATCTGTGCTTTAACCTATACATCTATGAACATGCTCCGTGCGACTGAAATTTGGCAGGAAATAAAATTATTTTTAATGTGAAAAACTGCTAATGCATTTCTTAAAAGTCCTTAAGAATGATGCTCTTAATAATGTATATTCATCCTGAATATCCTTTAAATTAGGTGTCTTGCATCATTGATAGAAAAAGAATACTTTTTTATACCATACACTTTGTGGCTGAATCGGCACAAAAAATACAAGTTCTAAGTGAAAGCCGCTTAAACTTTCTAAAAAAGTCTGCTCTGGTCCCACCCTTCTCTCTTGAGCTGCCTCCTTCCTGTGACACACTCGCTTGATGGCTGAAGGCTTCCTGCCTCGCGTCCCTCAAAGACTCCGTCCGCTGTGTGCAGACCTGGTCTATTGATCTGTGTGCAGAAGGAAGAGCTCTGCTACTGGTATTCCTGACAGCAAAGGCGTAGAGGACACGGATGACTCGGGCCGTCATTCTGATGTGCTGAGTTTTTGAGAGGCCAGGGGACCCTGAGGTCAGAGACCACGGGTCCACACATCTGCAAAAAATGCATGTACGTTGGACGAACTCTCTACCTTTCTTAAGGGCATTCTTCTGTAAGAAACTCCCTGAAATAGGAAAAAAGGAGAAGTAGAAGCGCGATCTCCTCCTTATACACCGGCGCCACACTGAAATTATCGATCTGGAAGCACTCCAGAACTGCTGTCTTTATGAACTTTGATGAGCTCGCTTGCAAACTCTGAGGACCCACAGCCATCATGGCCTCTCACAAGTAACTTTGAGGTTCAGTCTCTCCCCTGATATTTACCTTGATTATTGTTTCCTCCTTGACCTTCTTCCAAAATAAAAAAGTAATTCAAGTCAGACCATTTAGACACAATGTTATGGATTCAATGTGAGCAGACCGAGTGTATAAGTTTATCACTCTGAAATTAAGTGAGCAAATAAGTATCACTCAAACCCAGCAATGCTTCCTGGGAGGAGGCTGGCTCTGTGTCTGTCATTAAGGCAGGTAAAATGTTTGTTTTGTTCCCTTTCACTGGGCCAAGGTCAACAATCAATGGATCTACACAAGAATATACAGAACCTGAGTCTCAAGAACGTTCCTTGTTAACACTCTAACAAGGAGAGAGAAACCGCCCTGAGCTGGGCACCCTTTTCAAACAATACTGTTCACTGCACACCAGCCTGGAATAGTGATTCTGTCGAGGAAGCTTCTCTGGGTAATTAAGGCAAACATTTTGTTTCCATATAAAATAAAGTCCAGTTGCATCTTACTAACTAAAAGCAAAAAAAAAAAAAAAAAAGTGTTCTTTCTAACACTGACCTGCCACCCAGTGAGAAGGGAATCTGCATTGACTAAGAAAAATACAGGAAGATTATGAAAAGGCCAGACATAACTGCTAGTGATTTTAACACCTAACGAATAAATCTGTATGTTTTCCCAAGAGAGCTGGGAAAGAATCAGATGCAAAATTTGCCACTGGGAAATGATAGTTTTATAAATAACAACAGACCCTTCAATTACTAAAGGAAGTTCAGAGATTTTGTTCCAAAGTCTTTATATAAGACTGAAATTATCATATGAAGAGTATATATTCTTCCTTCCTTCCTCTACATTAATTGGGAATACTAAAAACATTAAGGTATTAGCCTACAAAGCTTGTGTCCTCTACAATTACTCAATTCAAAATATTTGAAAGGTATGTAGAATATTAACTTTAGAAATAGTAATGTTTTGTTTGCCCTTCAAAAAAAATCAAGATTTTTTTCTCCATCTCCTATTAATTTAATCACTATTACCACACTCTTCCTAGCCTTTTTCTTTTTTCTGTTCTTATTTCCTTAAAGTTAGCTTTCTTCTCTCCCTGAATTTTTAGCTTCCTGTCTTTTCTACATAAAGAGCTTCTTTCATCAACCTTAAATGCCGAAATTATGGTATAGTTTCAATGTGCTCAAATTTAATACAAGAAGCTATTTAAATGTTTAGACAAAGAGTTGCTTCTAATTATCTGAAAAATCATAAAAATGAAATGGAACCTACATCCCAAGGGTATAATAAAAAATATAAAAGTGATAATTATTGAAATGTAAACTGCTGACTACAAAGAAAAATAGAAAATGTTAACATAGTAAGAAATTGTGCCAAAAGTCATGAATCATCTGGAAGGCAGTTAGCTGGTGAAAACAGGACTGTGCATAGAAAAGACGCTCTAAACTTGAACTTTGGCCTCCCTTCTCAAAATACCAGTGACACTGAATTCACAGTCACATGCCGTTTTCCTTGACAAAAACACCTGCACACGACATGTGATGTGTCACTACTCACATGGCACTTGATTCCAAAACCCTGGCGCTCATTTCTCACTGACTTAACAGGTACACCAGGACTAATGGCTGACCATAAAAATGGCCTGCCCCTGAGTCCTTGGACAGAGTCTGATCATTTCATTCATGGGTTTCCTGTTCCTTAAGACAAAATCCTCCGGGATAATGAACAAAACTTCTCTTTCCTTGCTCAGGTTCACCCCATCATGGCACTGGGGTATGTACCTGCTTGGGTCAGAGAAATCGGCTGCTGCGGACTGTTTTAAAAGTACAGAAAAAATTCCTGTGGTGTAACCTACTGCGCACCAAAACAATTCTTTCAATATGCATGTGTTGAATATCTACTCTTAATGAGACCACAGTATGAAGGTGTAGTTAAGTTCAAGTACGGCAAAAAGCAGGCATAATTCTCGTAGAAAAGAACATTTCACGTAAAATCCATACTGGTGCACTGGCTGTGTGAAGACCATTAATTAGTATCTCTGTGTTCAATAAACTCAATAAACATTGGTTGAGGCCCTTGCTTCTGTCCACCTTGGAGCTATAACTTTCCTGAAAAACCTAGTTACAGAATTTTCTTGGAAGTCCCAAAAAGAGTAAGATGTCCTATTCAGGAAAGTTCTTTTTACTTTTTCTGTAAAATTTTTATGTCTCTATAGAAAAAATATTTTTATCGATTAGAAAAACCCCCCACAAAATCGATGTTTTTTATTTTTCTTTAGAGCAAAGACTGTTTAAATCATTCATCTTTGTTTTATTAACCTCAAG